AGTCCAGCTGCTAGAGGGTTGTCCCGTTCCTGGTCGGAAGGGGCTCGGTCGCCCTCTCGGTTTGCATATCCGTTTTCTGGTTTCGAGAGTTCCCCGGGCCCCGTGGGTCCTTGCCCGCCTCGGCGGCCCAGCTGCAGCTGCGACCGACGCCGCATAAGCGCCAGTCCCCACAGGCAGTGCTTATCGCGGTCGGCGTCTGCTCCGTAGCCATTTTGGCTCGAGGCGCGGCCCCGCGCCTTCCAGGTCGCATCGCCCAGGCGCAGCAATCACCGAGCGGAGGCAGCCATCATGGCGGACCAAATGGATTTGATGGACTGTCTCAGCTGCGCGTCGCAGGAGGACGTGCGCATGGAGTTCGAGGCCGATCTTGCCCGCCTGGAGTCCGAGCCCGAGAAGACCAGCCAGGGCCAGACATCCCAGGACCGCTGCGCACGTGTCTCCTCTCTCTGAGGCGCGCGCCCCCCCTTCCTGAGGCGCGCGTCTCCCCCGTCTGAGGCGCGCGTCTCATCCGCCCCTTCTGGGCCAAGAGGCGCGCGTCTCCCCTCCGCCGGTCGGAGCCGACGCAGCGGCGCATGTCAATCATATGTTGTTCCGTGTTTCCCCCGAGGGTGCCCGCTGACCCTTGTGGGCCCCCTCGGGGTAAATTGGCCAATGTAGAATTGACGCGCGCTGCGGCGGCGGGATGTGGGGCCCCTTTCCAGGATGCGCGTTGCCTGAAACGCCGCCGGCTTCGCAGCAGCGACGCGTTCGCCTGCGAGATTGGGTCCGACGGCGCAGAGTGCGACAGGGGCATGGATAAATCCGTGATCCAGAAGATTGGCATCGGCTGCATCGGTATCTTATTACTCACGGCGGAGACAGTTCTGGGGTCCAGGTACGCGCGCATGGCCAAGAAGTGTTGCATGCTTTGCAAGAAGGCCATATTGTCCCCAGACCCAATCCAACCCACCCTTTCGAGAGCATGGTCAAAACCCGATCTGCAAGGGCTGATCTGCGCCTATTGTAAGGTAGCAAAAAACAAACTTCACCCGCATAAGACAGGGGACGAGGTTAAGGTGCTCCTCGAGACAGATAAAGACGAGCGCTCGAAGTTCATGGACTACTCGGAGAGTCTCATCGAGCATTACAAGTCAGGGGGTAAGTCCGCGAAGAACCTCGACGCACCAAGTGAACGCATCGAGACTACGACTTCGGTGGACGTGTCGTCCGGCGTCAAGGGGAAGGTGAAACTTTGCGACACTTACGTGATCGAGCACGGCGACCCGTCCACCAACGGCAAGAACCACGCTGTGGTCGAGAAGTACAAGTGGAAGGACGGCACCCTCAGGACGGACGCCTTCCATTGTCGTGGCAGTTGGCACTTGCTAGCTGCTGGCGACGAGGCCAACGTGTTTTTCTCGCATTAGAAACGCGTCGGCATGGGGCCCGCCAGTGGATGAGCAGGAAAAGACCAGGGGGAAGGCAAGAAGGTGGATGAGCTGGGGCCAACGTGTTCCCGGAAAGGGCGCCGGCCCAGGGTTCTCTTTTAGTTGGTTAAACCTGTCCCCGGTGCCTCAACTGAGGTGGGCCGGCGGATTCTTTCCTGGATAAATATCGAGGTCGAGGTGGGCCGGCGGATTCAACTCTGAGGACGTCTCAGGCGAAACGCCTGTTTTTGAAATCGCGGTCGATAAATCACAGGGTACGGGCCACTCGTTCGCGTGTTGAGGACGTCTCGAGCGAAGCGCTTGCTTCGCAGATTTATCGAGGATGTCTCGAGCGAATCGCTTGTTTTGTAGAACTTGAGGGATCTGGGCGCCCCAGAGATTTGCCTTCTCCAGGTGCGCGAACCCGTGTGTTTTTACGTATGTGCCTGTAGATTTGCTCTCTCCAGGTGCACAAATCCATGTGCTTCAGCACGACCATGCCCCAGCACGACCACGCCCCAGCATTGCCCCACCCCGGCGCGACCTCACCCCAGCAGGACCATCACCCAGCGCGAACACACCCCAGCACGACCTCACCACAGCACGACGACACCCCAGCACGACCACGCCCCAGCACGACCACGCCCCAGCACGACCACGCCCCAGCACGACCACCCCCCAGCACGACTACCCCCCAGCACGACCACCCCCAGCACGACCACCCCCCAGCACGACCACACCCCAGCACGACCACTCCCCAGCACGACCACACCGCCTTGGTTGAGTGGTTGCCTGTCGTCGTGGAATGTTTTGCGGGGTGTCTCGTGGACTGTTTCGTGAGGTGTCTGGTGGAATGTTTCCAGGAACGCGTTGCAAACGGTCGCCCGTGTCTCGTGGGATGTTTCGCGGGGTGTCTCGTGGAAGTGCCCGGCGCCCAATGCGGTGTCGTGAAAACGTTTCCATGCGTGCGGTTCTATATCCTTTTTCCGGTTTAGTGGGTCCATCATGTTTCTAATGGATTAGAAACATGTTGGGCTCCATCGCTAGGTGATGGATGAGCTGGGGCCAACATGTTCTTAACGCAGTAGAAACATGTTGGGCCACATCGCCATCTGCAGCTTGGTCTCCACCTCGAGAGAGGCGAGCTGGTGGATGAGCTGGGCCAACATGTTCTTAACGCAGTAGAAACATGTTGGGCCCCATCGCCATCTCCACCGCGGTCTCCACCTCGAGAGAGGCGAGCTGGTGGATGAGCTGGGGCCATCATGTTCTTAACGCAGTAGAAACATGTTGGGCATCATCGCCATCTCCACCTCCTCCTGATCTTTTCTTGCTTACCCATTGACGGATCCCAGAGGAAAGTGGTTCTTGTGCCTGAAACCAAGGACGACGAGATGGAGGCATCCTGGACCAATCGGACATCGTTTACCCATTCCCAGGTGTTGCGCGACGGCGAGCTCGTCGACGGCCCCAACGCGGTCTCCAACATCTTCCAGGACATGCAGGCACGACAGGGCAAGAACATCCTCGCGGGCTCGGCGATCGATCTCGCCCTGCCGAAGCCAGCTCTCAGCGAGGCAGGCCGGGGCGCGGCCAGAGCCGAGCCAGGGGCTTCCTGTGGGCATGGCACTGCATCTGACACGAAGGCGGGCGGCGAAGCAGACGATGGGCACGATGATGAGCCGGAGTCCGACGATGAGACGTTCAGCAAGGCCGCAGGCGCATGCGACCTCCTGTCCATGATCTCCGGCGGCTCCGCCGCCGACGGCACGCCGGGAGACGCGGCTGCGGGCGGCGCTTCGGGCGCTGCGCCCGGCCGGCGACGTCCCGCTCAGGCCCCCGCGACTTCGGGCGCCCGCCCCAGCTCGGAGCCGCCGCCCCTCCCGCGGGCCGGCGGCGGCGCCGCGGGCGGTGGGAGACAGGGCGGGCGGGCGCGGCAGGGCCCTGCGGCAGGGGCACTGCAGCCTGGCGCGCCAGCAAGGCTGGACAAAACTATCCCGCCGCAGTCCAGGAAGCTAGACAGCATGGTGGACGATTTCAAGCGCAGCCAGAGAGCCACAGTGCTGGCGTTAGACAAGAAACATTTCAAGAACGTGAAGACACTCAGCGAGGCGTGCCGGGCGAAGATGAGGCAGCTCCCGAAGGACCTTCAGCTGGAGGTCATCGTCAGCGTGAAGACGTGGGAGGTCTTGAACTCCATCATCAAGGCGTTCAAGCAGTGGTCGAGGAAGGGCGAGGTGGATTTCTTCATGGAGGAGTTCGAGAAGGCGCAGAAGTTCGCGGCTGAGGAGCCAGCGGTTGTCCTCGAGGGGAAGCTCCCTCAGTGCATCAGTCTGGCGCTGAAGGAGATGGCGTTCTCGAAAGACATCGTGGCCGTCTTGAAGCAGAACGATTGCGAGGAGATCCTGAAACGCGTCAAGAGCATTTCCAAAGACGGGCTCACTGAGTTCCTCACTTCTGAGGAGCTGAAGGATTGGCAGCAGGACGGCCAGCGGAGCGGCTCGCCCGCCACCCTCGCGATCTCTGTGGCGGGCCCGGTGCAATCAACATTCGCGCTGGTTCTGGCCCCCAATCACTTGGTTGATTTTGATGTTTGATTGCGCCTGGGCCCGCCATGGGGGCCGCGCGGGCGATGGGCCGCGGCGCCCGCTGGAGGAACGCATCGAGGATTGTCTCGTCACCGTCCTGACCCTGTCGGCTGACCAAGTGCCGAAGGACATTGGCGCGTACGCCGGGTGGATCAATTGCTTCCTGTCTGCTTTCCCAAAGGCTTCCGCCTCGCCGTCGCCAGGGGCGCTGGGGTTCGACCTCGACGCTTCGATCCTGGCGCCGCTCGGGGTGTTGCGAGAGGTGCTGGACGTGGCGAGCTTCCCGGGCAGAGTCCAGAAGGTCCAGGATTTCGTGATGCAGGTGCAGCGTGGTGGGCACCAGCTGTTCAAGTACATGGTCAACGGCAACGGCGGCAAGGTGATGGCGCACATCAAGAAGCTGCTCGCCGACCAGGGGCTGAAGGAGGCGAGTTTGACACGCGTGTCCGAGCTCCTCGCGGATGGCGAGGGCGAGGTCACCCTGGATAAGCTGATGCGCCTTGATGAGGAGTTGGCCGCAATCAGTTTTCAGGATGCTGGGCGCGGTCAATGCCACTCACTCGTCGTCTTACTCCTTACTCCATCGTCTTCTCCGACCTCCTCTTTGGGTCTTGTCTTGAGCCTTGATGCGAAGCAACCCACTTCAAGCTTCAAATTCTACCAGGGGCGTGCGTCGGCCCAGCGTGCCGCGCTCCCCCCCTCTCTCTGGTCGGCCACAATGCGCTTCAAGTTTTCTCGACCCTGCCCCTGTCTCCGCTGCGGGCACTCGGGGCCGTCGGCCCAAGTGGGAACGACGTGGCATTGGCGGTGGCAGCTGTGGTCCAGGGGTTCTTGGCGCCAGCATGTTTGGCCCAGGGTCGTTGGTCTGCGCTCGGCTAGTTAATTGTTTGACCCCACTCGGCGTTCCTCACTTCCCAGTGCGGAGTGCGGAGGGTCTGCGCACGCCAAAATCACGGGTTCCCTCTTGGGCGGTCCATGCGTGGATGGCCGCAATTATCGCCCCCAGGCTGATCCAGACGTCCTCCGTCGCTTCTACCAGCTCGTGATCGCGCACGTCGTGCGCTTGTCTGGCAGCCTCGCCGAATTCTTCGAACCTGCAATGATGGGGAAGACGTGGTCGGCAGATGCGCTAGCTACGACCGTCAAGCAGCCCCTCGCGGCATTGTCGAACATGAAGGTGTTTGTTGACATCCAGGAGAATGGTCCCGATGGAGGCCGGTCAGACCTCCGCGTACTTCGACTGCTGAAGATCACCAGTGAGATTCCGAGGGAAGCCCTTGCCCCTGACTACGAGAGCAACGACCTCAGCGTGATGGAGGACCTCGCCAACAACCTTGCGAGCACGGCGCCCATTCGCACCGGCGCCGAGTTGCACGAGCATTGCCAAGGCATGGGCTTAGACACTACAGTCTTGGAGAAGGTCGCACACGTTGGCATGTCCCGGTTGAAGGAGCACGAGACGAAGAGCCTCGCGCCCAAGTACGAGCAGGTAGCGTCCACCATCTTGCAGGACAAGGCATACTGGAGCGATTGGAAGGTGATGTATCTAGATAAATGGAAACCGCTCTCCAGGCCAGTCTCGCTTGTCGCCCGATTGCGCATCAATTCTCTGGTTCCCTGGATAAGTCCCTCCAGGACTGCCTGGAGGGACTTATCCAGGGAAAAACAAAAAATCCCCCCCTGGTTCCTGGGGTGAACTGCGACTCCGCTTCGACGACGACGACGACGACGACGATGACGGCGACGACCTCGGCAGAGACGCCGGTGCCAGCGGCGGCAGTGAAATTTGCGAAGGGATTTTAACCGCCCCCCTCCCCCGCGCAGGCTGAAATTCCTTCGCTCCCCGCGAAGGCCTCCGCGTCCCGAGCCATGCGTGTCCAACGCTGTCTTCGGGGTGGTAGAATGTTGCCTTCGGAGTTCAAGAGGTCCGGGGGGGGGGGGGGGCTTCGGGCGACAAGCGGATTGGAAATTGGGCTGCTGGCGCGGCTCGGTCCTGGCCAGCAGCTCAACCCAGGCATCGTCTGAACCTGAGGGCGGGTCGAAGTTCTTCGCTGACCACGATGACAAACTTATCCCTGCGGTTGCGACCCTTCGCGAGACGTGCAAGGAGGGCATCGTCCGCGGCCACGTGCTGATCAACGACATTGCGACCATGCTGACCGCTCTGGGGAAGCACAACGTCGCCTGCGGCCTGCGCGTCTACTGGGCCGTCTCTGTCATTCGCTACAGCTTCGCCTCGGTCGCCAAGCACCTCAATGGGTTTGATTTTTCAGCCGGGGACCTGATGTCGGACACGTTCGTGGCGTCGTGGAACGAGTTGGCTCGCCAGGTTGTTGAGTTGGATCGGTTGATTGCTTCTCCGAGCGTGGACGCTGCGATCTCGGAGATGGGGGCCTTGGGGGAGCACGGCCTGCCCGCCGTCCCGACCGGTCTCATGCGCTCTGAGCTGGACGTTGCGAGCAGCCGCAGCAAGGAATTGTTGACCTTGGTGACTGGCCGCCTTTCCTCGCAGATCCACCGCGAAGGTGAGAAGCTCGAGCGAGCAATCCCCAACTATCAGTCGTTCGTGGTCTCTAGGTTCGATACGGAGAAGTGCAAGGATATGTTTGTGGATGCATCTTGGGAGACATTCGCGATTGCGTGGGTGAACGTGAGCAAGATGCAGGGCCTCGGGAGATCCCTCAACAGCCCCGCAGCCGGCGGCAACTTCGAACAGCAGCATTCCTCGTGCATCCTCGTCGCCAGCCGCGCCCTCAAAGCAGGGAAAACTTTCATCAGCGTAGCCTCGACAGTGAAACTGATTTTAGTGACTCTGCCCGCGACGGCCAGGTCTGAGCGCGTTCCCCTGATCGACGCCCAGATTGCTAAGGCCAAGGGCACTGACCTCCCTCGGAACCTGCAGGATTTCCTGAGCCGTGAGAAATTGAAGATAAAATCTGCAGAATCGAAGAGGTCTGCTGCGTCTTCTTAGTTAGTCTTTTGTCTTCAGCTTGGCATCGCTTGGACGCGTGTATTTTTCCTTCGGCGAGGACCATCGAGGAGCACCCTCGATCATCTGGTAACAAAAAAAGAACACGCGCGAAACCGAACAAAACACGGGGAATGGACGTCCGAGCGATGGCGAGTCAGACGGCCTGCTCGACAGGATAGCTCTGTGCGTGTCGGGACGGGCGAAAGGGGGGGATTGGGAAAGGGGGGGTTACGAAATTTGCTGCATGCAGCTGATTTCGGCCTCACCGAGGCGCCCATTCCTCGATGCATAGTCGCCTCCGGCGCCGGGAGGCGCCGGGAAAATCAGCTACGCGAGCTGATTCTCAAACCCCCCCTTTGCTATCCCCCCCTTTCGCCCGACCCGAGCGTGGCGACGCATGCTGGAGCCGTTTCTTTTCCGCGTTCGCGGGGTTTGCTTACTTCTGTGACCTTTGACGGTCTAGTCGACGGGATGCCTTTGCACGTGGTCATGCGTGGTGGAGACATTCGTTGTATTTATTGTTCTTGGTTCTCGTGGGGTTGCTCGCCTCATCCTCGCTTTTGCTTGGGATTTATAGCAGTGACGGGGCGAGCGAGCAGGTCCTTCGGCATGCGATGGCAAAGGGCCAAGGGGAAGTGCCTCGACTCGCGCGGCTGGCCGGGACCCCCAAGCGCTGGTTTAATCTGTGCTGCGCATGCCCGCTCGCTGTCTCGCTGCCGCTCGCCTTCGAAGTTAGAGAACATGCAAGAGCATATCGCACAACACACAACGCAACAGCGCAACCTTACCAACGAGTGGTATTCCAGTTTCTTCCCTGATGTTGTTCGCTTCCAGTTTTCTCTCCCGCGGGGAGGCGCTGGCGTGTTCAGGCCGCGCGCATTGGTGCGCAGAAACATTGCAGTCCGAGTGTCTAGTAGGAACAAATGGAAAACAGCTGCCGACTTGACAACGCCGGCTGCGGCCATCCACCGATCTGGCGCTCCAGAGTGCGGCATGCACGGGTGATTCTCCTAAAACAGCTTGTCCTGTCCGAGGAGACAGCGTTTGCTTATGGTCTTACAATGCGTTTGTAAGCCTTCAATGCGCATGGTCTTACAATGCGTTCGTACGGGCATTAAACCTATGATAGTTGATCCGGGTCTTCTGCCGAACGTTGTCTTCGGATGAGAGGAGGTGTCTCTACATGCGAGCAATTGCAGTCGAGGGTCGAGGTTGAGTTTTCGCACTGGCTTGCGCCATTCCGTTTGCCGCCGTGCCCCGCATGCGTTTGTATGCGCATGTGTATGTGCGGTTTTGTGTAAATGAGCGCGCACATGTATATATCGCAAGTGCATGTGGTCGTAGCGTTTTGAAAACACGCACCCTCCTTCCTTCCACCCTCTCCCCAGCCTCACCCCCCACACTCCCCCCCATCCACGCCATTCCCTGCTATCCCCCCACTCCAACCCTGGATATCTCCCTCCTCCCTCTTCATCCTTCTCCCCATGCAAACGCCCGACCCCCCTGGCCTCTAGCCCCCCCCCTCCCCCCTCCTCCCCCCCCCCCCCACCCCCCCTCCCCACCTTATCCCCCTCCCCCCCTTAAGCCTCCTCCCACCCATCGATCCCCTCCTTGCTGTTTCCCCCTCAATCCTGATCCCCCCCGCCCTCTGGTACTCCCCTTTGATCACACAACTCCCCCTCTCCTCCCCCCTTCTTTATTTAATCCCCCTTGTTTTCGCGCAGCACAGAATCCACATCTTGTGAAGGCTTCGAAGCCTGGAGTTCAAGGAGGCTCTGAACAATTACGCCAACATGACGTGGGAGCAGCTGGAATCCGCCATCACGAAGAACAAATCCGAGACTCGCGGCAGCAAGAAGCGGCCCCGGGCGCAGTGAGGCGCGGTCCGAGCGTGGCGACCGGTCGGGACGGTGACGCCCGCGGGTGCGGCGGCTGATAGGGGATCCGACTCAGTGGGGCTCTGTAGTCGGCGGGGCAGCCGGCGCGCGCTGACTAGTGCAATCGACATCAGGAGCTGTGGGCGTCTGCAGGAGCGACGTGCTCGCCTGTCTGCGGGTGTCCAGTCGGGGTCAGATTCTCAGCAGTAGAGACGTCGCCCTCGCTCGCCCTCGCCACCTCCGCCCCCGCCTCGTTGCAAGTTTCTCCTGAGAGCTCACGGGTTGCATCTCGGAGTTTCCCTGCAACATATCGATTAGTCTTGGATCTCTCAGGGCTCCCATGGGTCGTTTCGGGCTGTGTCAGTGGCCATCTGGGCGCTTGAACTGCGCAATCCGACGTCTGTCCGAACGCGCGGCCTGCGGTGCATTGTTCTGATAGATGCGGGAGTGGTATCTCGGGGCCCGTTGGGCTTTATCGGAACGCATTGGGCTCCATCGCCACCCCAATGGACCGATGTACCACCGCCATGTCCGTCTGGGGGTCACCTCGGGCCGCGTCCGAATCCTCGGGATGTCTTGAGCTGTCCCGGAGAGTGCTCGCGACGTGGGCTCCGTCGGCGTACACCTGGGCTGCTATACTGCCGTCGTAGGCCGTCCAGAGGCTGTCCTGAACAGTTTTCTATTTCTGCGGGAGTTGTAGTGGATTGTCTCGGAGGGTGCTTGCGCTGCGCGCGCATCCGCGCGCGCGCGTGCGTCCTATTCCGCCCCGCGCCCAGGGTCCACAACTGCGGGGGTGCCAGCGCTCGCGGCGGCGGTGCTCGGGGCCGCAGGCGCCGCCGCGCTCCGCGGTTCACGAGGGATATCCGGGTGGAGGGGGCGACGAGGTCGCGCGATTCGCCCACCTGTTAGTAGGTGCCAGCCAGCGAAATGCGCGTGTGTTTGTGCTTGTTGATAGCGGCCAGAGGCTGACACTGGGCCGCCGTGACTTCGCCGTTGCATCGCCGCCAGGGATATTAGCTGCTTCCCCACTCCACCCCCCCCCCCCCCCCTCACTCTCGGAATCGAAAGTTTAGAATCGCGCGCATGCTGCACGGGGGCGCCGAGGTCGCGCGATTCGCCCACCTGTTAGTAAGTGCCAGCCAGTGAAATGTGCGCGCGTGTGTCTGCGCTTGTTGATCACCACCAGAGGCTGGCACTGAGCCGCCGTGACTTCGCCGTTGTCTCGCCGCCAGTGGTATTAGATAATTCCCCCACCCCGCCCCCTCGCTCTCGGAATCGAAAGTTTAGAATCGCGCGCATGCTGCATGCGTCTCGGCTCAAGATTAGCGCGCGCATTCCGAGCCAGACCCGGCACTTCCAGCATCGCCAGCTTTCTCCGCTTTATTCCGATGGCCGCGCACGCGTTCGAGGAGGCCCAGCTGCTCCAGTTGCAAATCGAGCAGGGCGTCGACTATGCGGCGTATCTGCGGTTTCAAGGATCCACCAATGACTTCGCCCCGTCCTCCAGAGAGTGTGGGAGTTCATGCAGAGAGCTCTGTGGGTCGTATGAGGGGGCTCCGCGAAGGCTTCAGTAGGCCTCCCAGATGATCCCGTGGAGGCCCCTAGAGCACCTCATGGACCTTTCAGCGCCACAGGAGAAGAGCTTTTCAAGAGGAACCAGGCGCTCGTGGCGCTTGCGAGCGGGCGTTCCTCTGCAGTCGCGGCGATCGGCAGCCCCCGATGCGATCTGCGCGCCCGATCGACAGACACGAAGAGCAGCTTAAAACATGTGTCTTGCGCCTCGTCGAGAGGAGGGTCGTTCGTCGACGACAACGACGACGACGGGCCCGACAAACCTGCCAGGGTTTCCCCGAGGACACCACATGAATCAACATGAAAGTCATACAATCGTGTATATATGTATATATGTTTATATAATATATATAACATATATATATTATATATATTATATATATTATATTCATATGTTCGTAACTATACATATGTGTACATGGTAAGCGTATATCACCGCAGCAATATCACTAGTATCCAGAAGTTATCACGAGGTACCAGGAGGTTCAAGATGGCTACAGAAAGCATCCAAAGTCCCAGGAAGCACCAGGAGACCCCAGGAGACGCCGCCAGACCACATGATGCCAGGATGCTCCAGGCGTTTCCGAATAGCACCCGCAACAACATGAAACTTGTTGCGGATGTTCTGGGCGCCTCCCTGACATCCTCTCGGAGGGTTCCTGAGGCTCGGTCGGGCCGCGTGGCCCGCGCGATCGACCGATGGACATGCTGTCGGGTAGATCTGGCTCCGCTCGCCACGCGGCGCACCCCAATGGAATATGGCAAGGTCCCCGCGGACATCCAGCGCACGATCGCTGCGTTCTTCCAGCCGAGCAACCATGCCACTCAGCCCAGCCTTGACTTCGTCCCTTACCCTGCTCTCGCGGGCGCCGACAACGACCCGGCGCCGAGGGGTAATCATGCGCTCACTCACTATTGTGAACCCCATTCTTGGCGTTATTCAATCTTGATCTCGAGTCGCGACGATTCGTGTGTGTGTGCGTTGTGGTGATAGTGGTCGTTGTGGTCGTGGTGGTGGCGGTGTGCGGCGGTGGTGAGGAGGGGGATGCAAATCGGACGGGGCCGACGGCGCGCGCCCCCCAGGTGCTGCCCCATCACCTTGGACACTGGCTGCGTGACCACATGGTCGGGAATTACGGCTTCCACCCCTTCCCGCCCGTCAGGCACGACGTCGCCCGCGTGCACTTCAAGGTCCGGGCGCTGCGCGCGTCCATGTCGCGCGTCGCGGAGGATTCGTGGCGCCTCCGCGTGATGCTGGCGGAGGCCAGGATGAAGCACGCCTCGGCGTGGGCGTCGATCCGTCAGTTCAGGGACCTGGGCGATGGCGGAATGGAGCACGAGGTGGTGGGCCTAGTCGACGACATGGAAGACCTGGTCGAGAGGGTGGCCGCGCCCGCTCTGGAGTGAGGTCGGCGGCGGCAGAGGGCGGAGGCTACGGCTTCTGGCCGACTCGGAGGGGCCGCAGTCGGTGCGCACATTAAGACATGTATTTGAAGTCCACCAGAATGATCTGCCGCGGCCGCCCCTCCCCC